GTGACACAGGTAATTGGAATGTTCTCTACACAACCTAGTAAACATTCCAAGACCTGTGTCACTGAACCTGATTCTCTACACTACAAGGTTAATCAGGTTCAGTGACACAGGTCTTGGAATGGGTGTCTTCAGAGCATCAATATCAATTCCAACATGTCAGCCCCTGCCATCACACTTTTTAAAGCCAAAATCACCTGAACAAAATTTGCTGAACCATCATTGACACTTGCACACATTCAAAACATTTCCATAAACTTCTTTGATATTCTTTGTGGCTACAGATGTGTTGTTTCCCTTTTTGTATTCAAACAGCATTACATGTCAAATGTGTGTCTTGTCATGTGCCATCACTATAAGGGATTAGAGTATACTAAACTTTACACATTATACAGGCTACACTAATGTGACATTTAGGTGGTTCATTTAAATATTATACGTGATGTACATTTTGTGGGGGGTGGTTAATGAAAGTGTTCCAAAATGCATCATTAATTTCTTGATGACCTAATACTATAACAATAGGAAGGAATTATATACAGAACCTGAATGCACTTACTTTAACTCTCAGTCTGAAAAATTACAAATATGGATTGACAAAAAAAGAAAAGAGTAGCAGACAAAAATAATCTGCAAGTGTAAATGAAATGGAAGTGCAGTGATTTTACATTCACTGGATAGTTCTGATGGTGGATAATAGAAACACAAGTGTGTAAGAAGTGTCTAATGTAAGATGAGTCTATTACATTGTCAAGTGTTGATAAGATTTTGAGATTTCCCTAGATATACCACTCGTGAGTATATGACATATAATTAAGAATTGAAGGATTACATTAATTATATTACCTCAGGATTGCTCACCAGAAAGTGATATGTTTGGACTCAAATGTTTTTGTAGTAATCTATAAAATCTTCCCTGTAAAAGTTTTGCTCAAATAGAAGCAAAGTTTGTTATTTCCTGTGTCACTGAACCTGATTAACCTAGTAGTGTAGAGAACATTCCAATACCTGTGTCCCTGAACCTGATTAACCTAGTAGTGTAGAGAATATTCCAAGACCTGTGTCACTGAACCTGATTAACCTAGTAGTGTAGAGAACATTCCAAGACCTGTGTCACTGAACCTGATTAGCCTAGTAGTGTAGAGATTTGTTGAGTCTAACCCAAGGCAACACACTCATGAAATGGCCCTGAAATTGCAATTCTTTCATGAAACAATATGTAAACATCGAAGGAATATGGGAAAACTCCATAAAAAAAG